GGCTTGTCCCTGAAAATTGGAGCCTTGGAGGCAGAGCCAGCTTTCCACTGTGGCTGGTATGAAGCCCCCACTGTGGACACACACTTGTATAAGATGCCCACAAGTTACTGTGATGGTACACCTGCCACCTAGCTGTGCCGTAGCTAGTGTTTTGTGAAGGAAAGTAACCTCGACATCCTGCCAGACCAGGACTGAGCACGGCATTCCCACGCCGCGTCGGGGGGAAGAGCAGCAGGCAGTGCTGTATGATGGGACGCTGGCTTCTTACAGGTATGCGGTGTTAAAAATAAACCTACGGGTGGGCTGTAAAATAATTGTATTCAACCCCACTGTGCTGCCAGTACTGTAGTATGCCATTCTTCTCTAGACCCAAGGTGGCCTGGTATCCTCCTTCTCCCCTGGTATCCTCCTTCTCCACAGTAACTTCAGGCAGACCACACGTTGGACTTCACAGACTGTCGGCCTCGAAAAGGTCCCCTAAATGCTTGCAGATGCATAAGAAAACATATTTTTAACAGTTACAACCACGACTTCTCCTGGCACAACTTCAATCAGCCCTTGCTTTTGATTGGCGCATGTTGTATTGGGAAATTTTCCTCGAAGTATTGAGTCACTTGGTAAAGATGCTGTCATTTCCTACCATAACCACCTACCAAGCTTCAGCTGCTATCTCTGTTTAACTTCCCTGTGAACCGGCTCCATTTAAATCGGTGGGATTCCAGGAGAAGGCACTGTATCCAGTAGCATATCCAAAACCAGGCAAGGTAAATTCATTTTTTTTTTAAGCATATAACCTGAGTGAGAATGCCACATGCTCTCTAAGTTTTTGTTGTGACTGTTTTATATCAAACAATTTTTCTTCTGTTTCTTGAAATTTATCCCCAGGGCAACAGCCCAATTGATCAGATTTTTCTTGTTTCCTCTCTGCAGATAATTTGTGCTGCTACCACATTTACTGTGGCCACACACCCTGCTCCCATTGCTGGCAGGAGAAACCTGAGACTGGGTGTGACACTCCCATGTGGGGCAAAGCGGGAGGGAGGGTGGGGAAGGTGGTCAAAGTTCAACTCGGCCAATCCTTGGCATCATATTACTATCTTGTTTGCAGTAAGAATGTGAGTCCAAACTTGGTTTTCAGCACAGATTTCAAGGCGTTTCTACCCAAGGGTGTGTGTGAAAGAGAGTGTTAGCTAGGTCTCCCTTAACTGACAACCTTTGTGTCTGTCTGGGTTGGGCTTTTTTCAGCAGTTAATGCAAGGAAACCAGCAGAGCATTCAAGCAGAGAGAAGAAAATGTCATCTCATGGCAAGGTTCCCCTGCTTTGGTTTCTGGTCTGGGCAGCATGGTTGATCACATCTCAAGCTGAAGGTAAGTCTCACTCTAGGGGCAAATAGAGTGGGGGAGTCCATCTGTCACTCACTCAACCATTTGTCAGGACCAAATTTCTTTTTTTACCCCCAAACCCCATCTTATTTTATTTCTTCTCCAGATGACTGGTGACAGAGTTTGCAGATCCTCCCTTACACAGGATGGTGTTCTCAAAAATTGATCCCTCTCACCATTAGAGAGAGGTAGTTAGCCCTGTTGGTCCAAAGTCGGGCAGAAGGCAGAGTTGAGTTGCTCCTTATAGACTAAATCAGAGATACATAAGCTTTTGTAAGCAACGGTTTACTTCATTAGCACCTGATGATGTAATCTGTTGCTTATGAAGACTTACTAAATCTGATTCTATTACTTTATAAGTCTACCTTGCCTTCCCTATTACAGAAGCAGGGTTTAATGCAGTTTGTGACCTTTGTTTTCTGAAATGCAACATTACTTTTAACTATAAAAAAATTTAAAATATTTTGGGGAAAAAAACCAATCTCACTAATATAAAATAGGAAATATCTTGGTCACTGTCAAAATCTCCTGGAGCCTTTACGTTTATGTATAAAAATCACTCCAAATGCAACTAACTCTGAGGGTAAATAGGTAAATATATTTCATCTTTTACCTAGCTGTTATTCCCACATAGATATCTTGGACCAGATCTAGACCCGCTGTCCTTCCAATGAATCTGGGTAGAAATGAATCTACTAATCCAGTGGAATTTCACTTGCATACAAAAGCTTTGCACGCCTCTTTCTTTCATTCTTTTGCTTGCACACTTTTTTAAAAAACCATTTTTAACCTAGTCAGCCATTTGTCCAAGCCTGACAGTAGGTTTTGCTGTGTTTCTACAGCACTGCAAAGCTGAAGGTGGTGCCAAAAATGCTGTCATTCCTGTATTTCAGAGCAGACTCTTACCATGAGGAGCAAAAAGGAAAGCTGCTTCTCTGCTGACAACCTGGGGAGTGTGTGGGTAGAGCTGTGAAATGCTGTTGCTTCGCATGCATTCTGCAGAGTACAGCTGTCATTGCCAGAGGGGAGCTTATCAGGCTGCCTTGGACATTGGTATTCGTGATGTGTGCCAGCATGCCCTGAGGTGGGGCTGACTATAACACTCCCTAGGATCATAATGACACTCCAGGCTTTTCTCACATCCAGCCTGTAGCCATAGGTATGAGCCACAAAATTCTTGTTGGATCCAGATTTCAAATGTTCCAGATCCAAGGAGATGTCTGAACGTGGGGTTTCAGCTTGGGCCTGTCTCTGGATTGGACTGCAGGATCCAAGTCTACATTGTTCTTATAGTCCCTATAGCTTGGAAAATCTAATTGCTGGGAAAAGAGAAACAGTTGGGAGGAAAGTACAGCGCAGTGGAAGAAATCCATGTCTGATGTCAATGCTTACTTTGAGTCATCAAAGCAATGGAAATCTTTGAGGAAAAATAAAAATGGCAGATGTAGCTTGGCATCAACCAAGGGGGTCCCATTGCTTTAACTGGATCAGGCCATTAATTTGTCCAGTCATTTAGACTTTGTTCATCTATAACTTACATTACGCAGGACAAGAAGCCGAGAGGCCAGAAGTAGTTACCAAATATGGGAGACTCCGAGGAAAAGAGGTTGCTGTCAAGGGAATTGACAAACGTACGCAGGTATTTCTGGGGATACCTTTTGCAAAACCGCCTGTGGGTTCTCTGAGATTTTCCCCGCCCCAGCCAGTGGAACCATGGCACGGTGTGCGAGATGCGACGTCTCTTCCACCAATGTAAGAACCCTGTATTCTACCTGTGTGCTGTCTTTACACTTTACAAAAAATAACTGAATTTAATCAACTGGATTTTCTTACTCCCCCACCCCACCCTGTTCTGGAAAAAGGAGCTTCTCTAGAGCTTTCAGGTCCTTTGAATGTTTCCACCATAAAGGGAGGTTTGGAAATGGTCCTGAAGGTAGACATAGTGCAATTGTTTGATTAACAAGGGTGCAGCAATCATGGATTCCTCCAGCTCTTACGCTAAACTCCATGACCTGCTTGTCTTAAAAGGTTTGATAATCCTAGGGAAACTAACTGAGAACATACAAGAGATGGAAACACAATGCCTTTACATGGTACCCAGAGCAGGGAGACAACTAGCTCATCTGAGGTAGCTAATCAATGTGGGGGTTGAGCATGTTGGGATGAGTAGGGACGTCAGTGAAACCCTGAACCTCTCTATATTTCACTAGACATGATCTTTTAACCCCAGTCTTGCCAACTTGTACACATATAAGCAGAGAGAGAATTATTTAGCTGTGTTAGTCTGAAGTCAGGCAGAAGCTAGAGTAGACTAGCACATTATAGACTAGCGACACCAACCTTGGGGTCACAACCCCATTTGGGGTCACAATGATAAAAAGGAGGTCGCAAAGTCACTCAACAGTGTCAACCAATCATGCAGGGATCTGGGTTGTCCATTCATTGCAGAATAATGCAGAAAAACATGGATTTTCTCCTTTAAAGGAGAAAAAAGCAGGAAATGGTGGGTTCCCCTTACAGTTGGGCAGAGTTCCCGCCTGCAAGCGGCTGCTTGCAGTTGGTGGGAGCGGGAGGGGGGCAATCAGGCGGGGGGTTCTATGTGCATGTGCACGTGCACACATGCACGTGGCATCCAGGCAGCATGAAAAGCAACTCCCACAGCTCCCTGCAGATAAATCTATGGAGGGGAGGGCAGATTGAGGCCTCCATGATAAAGGAGGGAGTGGGACACGGCTGGGGCTGGGAGTGCTAACCAGCTGAGCTGGTGCATGGGGGCCGGGGTGAGAATGCAGGCGGGGGGAGCAGAGTGGAGCCACAGGTGACTTGTCTGGCGGGGTTGGGGAGGGCGGGGACTGGCTCCCCACTGCTGCATGCATGCCCGGGGAAGGGGAAATGGGGGAGTATGTGCCCCCCAGATTTGTGTTCAGGGCAGGGGGGGGCTGCTGGCTGCCCCCTTTAGGCTTGGTGCTTCCCACCTTGTTGCCCTCCCCTGAGGCCTCCTCAGCAGAACAGGGCAGGGAAGCTCAGTGCCGCTGCTGCCAGGACCCCCACACCAGCCACACTGCCATGGCAAGGCACCCCCTGTTCACCTAGTAGCAGTGGGGGACACAACTCCACACCACCAGTGCTACTGCTGCTGGGTGGGCAGGGGGCACTTCACCATGGTGGTGCAGCTGGTGTGGGGCTCCTGGTGGCGGTGGCAGCACCGAGCCTTCCCAACCTTCTGCGCCAGGTCCTGCCTGTTGTGCCATGGAGGTCCCCAGTGGAAGAAAGCAGGGTGGGGAGTCCCAAGCTTGCAGCGGGCAGCCCGCATCTTCCCCTTCCCAATCGGCTCTGGTCTGGTTGTGCCGCCTGCAGGGGGAAGGGATGGCGGGTGGGAGCCGGGCTCCACACTCTGCTTCAGTTGCAGCAGCCTCCCATGGGCAGCACCCAGGACTCAGCACTGCTGGGCAGGGAAGGGAACAGGGGGCTGAGGGCCCAGGCCCTGGGGCATCTGGGGAGGGTTTGGGGGCTGCAGGTTTGGAATGAGGGGCACGGGCAAGGCCATGGGGCTGTGGGTCTGGAGTGAGGGGTCATGCTGAGGAAAAGGTTGGGAAGAACTATTATAGACTAATTCAGAGAGACAGAAGTTTTCATAAGCAGCCACTTGCTTTGTCAGATGCTATGAAACTGCATATGCTATGCAATAAGCTGTGCTATGAAACTTCATTATGGCTTCTCAAGTAAGTTGTTGCCTTTCTAATTTAGTTAGTTTTTGGAAATGATAGAAGGGTGCCTTGAGTCAATGGGTGCCTCGAATCTAAAAGAGTTAAGAACGGCTGTAATGGGCTGTTTTACTGCCTGCCTCCCTGCAGAGGAGTGGGGCAGGGCAGCGCCGGGCAGGGAGGAGCCTGAGCCTACACCTGTCCCCTCCCAGCCCCCCCCCAGGGTGTCCTGGCTCTGTGGTTGAGGATCACTAGTCTAAGGTGCCATTCTGCCCTTCTTTCTGCATGTTTGGCTCCCCATTACAACCCGAATTTCCTCTGCCGCAGTCTGAGGCCATTGCTTCTCTTGTACTGGCACAAAGAAAAGTCCATTTCTATTCTTTGTAGTCACCCTTCAGGTATTTGAAGCCTGTTATCAAATCCCCTCTGTCTTCTCATCTCCAGACTAAATATTCCTACTTCTTTTAGTCTTTCCTTCTAAGTCATGCTTCCAAGGCATCTAGCACTTTTGTTACCTCCTGCTGGGCTCTTCCCAACCTATCTATACCTTTTTTTGATGTGCGGGGTCCAAAACTAGACTCAGTACTCCAGGTGAGGCCTCACCAGTGCACAGTAGGATGGAGAATCAAGATGATTCAAGGTAGTGAAGTTAAGCATACATGCCTTTGCTGCATTAGGGTCTTCGTGTGAAATTCCTTAATAGAAAAAAAAAATCACTGTGTAGACCTGAACTTCTGTTAGCACTTAGGAAGCTAATCAATGTGAATTAGCACAAAGCATCCATTTTCCCAAGACTGCCTTGTGAGGGCAGTAGATTGTTCTGTTTTCCCAGGAAAAATAATTTAGATAATGAAATTAATGCTGAAGCGATAGTTTTTGTTTTCCCATGAATCAAGACTACTCTCTGGAAGTTCCTCTTTACTCAGAGGTTAGTTTTGGTCTTGTAAAGCAGAACCAAGTTCAGATCTCACTGGAGGCTCAAATTTAGAACAAGGGGTTAAACTGAAGGATCTCTTGAGGTATCTTTCAGCCCTATAGTTCTAACTAAACCTGTAAATAAAAAAAAAAATCCAAGCTTTCAAATATCTTAAAATAATACATGAATGTATCTGTTCAGTTATGAAATGTATGAAATTCTCCATTGGGAAAACCTCTAAATCTTGTTCTGACCTTTCAGATGCTTGCAAGACCAGTTGTGGCTGGAAAAATTTAACGATTTTTTTAAAATAAAACATTGTAACTTGACAACTTCTGAAGACTGCCTGTATCTGAATATTTACAGCCCTGCCCCTTCCAATAACAAGGCCAAGTTACCGGTAAGCAGAACTGCTGCAGGTTTGTTTCCATGCTCTTGACGAATCCTTACAACTTGTCTGGCGATTTAATTGGATAGTACTATGCAGCAGCCAAGTCAAGGTATATAGCACCTCAATCTGTAGGGCTAGAAGCACTCACTGAAACCAACATTAAAGCAACGGAAAAGTAGAATAGCATAAAGGTCCTCAAGGTTTTTTAATGCAAGGGGTAGCAAAGTGGTCTGAAAGCATACGTCTGTAGAGGAAAAGAAAGATGCCTACTTCTACTCCAACAGTTTTTTATATGTCCTTCCTTTTATTTTTCTTTGAACTAGAAATTAGGATCAAGGAGTATATGTTTTGCTTTTGGAAATGCATAATTGCAAGCAGTACCTAAGTTAATACAGGTCCACGGGTAAAGCCCTTAAAAAGTCTTCCCATATCCACTCAAGTAATAACCCTTTGCACTCCTACAGCTCGTTGAAATAAAGACAGATGGGTTATATGAGGATCAGTTACCTATTCATTTTTAGCTCTACTTCAATGATCATGATCAAGTAGAAGAATGGGTTGCTCAAGACACGTAAAGAGAATTTGTACAAGGGCCAGGACACGAAGCCACAGTGTATTATGCCTCTATTCATGTTGTGTCATTAATCTCTCTGTATTTTGTTGGTTTAAATCATACAAGTTAGTTCAAGGTAGCCCACATTTATGAAAGTATTCAAAACCTGAAGAAGAGGTGCTTTTTGCCAAGGAGATTTGCCCTATCTCTGCTCTTGTTTTGCCTGCTGGATGGATTTTATTCTCCAGTACTGGCTAACAAACAGCTTTCAAATGCACATTTTCATGGAAAACCTTTTATGGTTTTGTTTTTTCAGGTTATGATGTGGATTCATGGAGGATCTTTATTGATTGGTGGAGCTTGGATGTATGATGGGTCAGCATTATCTGCCTATGAGGATGTGGTGGTAGTAACCATTCAGTATAGGCTAGGTATTACTGGATTCTTAAGGTAAGTTTCCTTTCTAAGTCAAATCATCATATCCACTTTTAGTATACATGTGCATTAAAATAATTGCTTAAATATTTTAGTGATTGGCATAAAGAAATCAATAATATGAGCAGTGATCTGCCACTTTCTCTAAATATTTAACAAAAACAAATTCTGTTGTACTTGCTTGCTTCTTCAGTGACCCTACTTTCAGTCCAAACCCTCATAACTGGTGTGACACACAGGATCATGTTTTCCTTGTATGTTCATTCTCTCAAGTATCTCTGCCTGTGCTCATAGTTGTTCATGTGATATTTATGCTCGGCAGTTTGCTTTACCCAGCAATTTATTTTACAAATTTTGGCAGCCATTTGAATTACTCTAAAGACTTTAAATCTATAGCAAATTTAGCAATTCATCTCTGCTGAAACAGCTTATATCTTTAGAGATGCTTTGGACAGCTTCCTGATTGCCCTTAATTTGCTAATCATCAACATCCATACTGTCCACTGAATACGTGGCCTTGCTGCTTCCTTTCTCTTCAGAGAATCCCTTTAATAAGAGCACTAAGACCTTGTAAACTCAGTATTTCTGGGCATTACCATCTCTCTGTGTTCATCACCATGACTGCATGGAAGCCCACAGCCAACAGCCAGACTGCAAATGGAGCAAGCTTTTTGAAAAGTTGCTGTGTGATGCATGACACGCCCTGAAAGCTAAATGTTTTGATTCAGAATTTGGCAGTCTCAGTCACAGAGAAGTAAACAGGAATGTAAGAAATAAAATAAGAAAGGCGAAAGAAGACTGGATTCTAAACAGGCGTGAAGAAATTCAAAAGGGTTTTGAAAACAGCAGCGAGAAAGCATTTCAGAGCCTGAAGAAGACAACTAAAGCACACCAAGCAAGAACAAAGAAGACGAGAATGGACAATTGCTTACTGAAAACAATTCAATACACAAGAGATGGGCCAAGTACACAAAGGAACTCTACATCTACAACATCCAAATGGGGGCTGAAGTGCTTGACCAGCTAGCAGAAGGAGGACCTGGAAAGCACTGAAAAGGAAGACCCAGACAGCTCAAGAGAAGTAGAAAAAGCCATTAGAAGCCTGAAGAATGGGAAAGCACTTGGGGTAGATAACATACCTGCAAAACTCTTGAAGACAGGTGACAACATAACAAGCATGCTTCACAAAATTTGTAACATGATATGGAGGGAAAAAAACTTGGCCAACCCAGTGGACAAAGTCAGTCATCATTCCCTTTCCTAAAAAGGGGAATCTCCACCAATGCACAAACTACTGCAGTATCGGTTTGATCAGCCATCCAAGCAAAGTACTTCTAAGAATAATATTGAACAGACTTGAGCCTCAAGTAGAGACCATGCTGATGAAAGAGCAGGATGGGTTCTCAGAAAGGAGACGTACCACAGGGTAAATCTTCAACATCCAAGCACTGTATGAAAAGTAGCGTGATCCCCACAAAACACTTCACCATAACTTCATCGACTTCAAGAAAGCTTTTGACAAGGTGTGGCACAAAGCACTTTGGCTCATGATGAAGAAGCATAACATCGGCAGGTTGTTGCTACCACTAACAGAAGAACTTTACAGCAGTGCAAACAGTGCAGTGCTGATCAACAACAATATCATCAAATGGCTTGCGACGTCAGTAAATGTGCACGAAGGTTGCTTGCTCTCACTATGCCTTTTCAACCTCTTCCTT